ATGAAGGTCTTAGGATCTCTTCAGCGTTGCGGTGATCTCTTATGCTATTTTTTTTTTTATTTTTTTTTTTTTTAATTAAATTTAAAAATATTAAAAAATTTTTTAAATATTTTATCTTTCAATTAAACTTCTTTTTTTTATGAAAAAATCTTAAAAACACTTCACTGATATATATTATCCTGATAAATCCCAGTGAAATTTAAAAAATAAATTATTCTAAATATTATCTTAGGATTTATATTTCAAGAAGACAAATTTTCACAACAATCCAATCACTTGCCTGAGGATATAAAGTGTGTATTTCTATTGCAACAATTCAATCCATCTTCTCTCTAAACTTTTTTTTATTTTTTAATTAATATGAGTATATATTTAATATGTATGTACAAGCTTTAAAATTAATAATTATATAAACCTTTAATGATTTTAAAAATTACAGAATTCAAACTAGTAATCTTAAAATATAAATATAGAACTCACCAGCTAAAAACAACACTCAAAGTTACTTCTATCTAAACTTCAATAGGAACATAGTTGCATGGGAACTCCCTTGTAATATTTGTGAATTGTGATTGTGGAAGACACAAAGTCTTTTTTTTTTCTATAACTTGTCTGCCTTTTATTTTGTTCATGCGCTTCGTGATGGGGTGTGGATTACTTTTTACTTAAAAACATATTAAAATAATAATTTTTTATATTTTTTTATTTTTAATATCAGAAAATTTAAATTATTAAAATATATTTAAAAACGATCAATTTAATATTTTGTTAAATAAAAAACATTTTAAAAATTACTTTAAAAAATAAAAACTTCTATCAAACAAGTATGGAGAAGAAAAGCAGGTTTTCCTCCATCATAAATAGCTGTTATTCTAACCAGCAAACCGTGTTATTAACATTGACATTTTAACAATTAACTAACATGCATAGGGAAAGTACTCCAGTAATTGACAGTACTTTCCCACTAAAACAGTTAACCCTTGAAAAAAACAGAACATTTGTTTTTGCTTTTTTTTTTATCCAGTCAATATATTTTTCTATCTTTTAATATTAAATTTATTTATTATAAGGTTAACACATTCTAATGATATAAATTGCAAATTTAATGAATTAACTCAATTTATTAGGTTTTTTTTATTTAATTTTTTTTCTAATTTTATTTTTTAGTATTGAGTTAATTGAAAATTAGACTTTATAATTTATTTTATCAGCTTTTTATTAGGTTATTTCGATCTTATAACCTGGTAACAATGCTCAATAGGTTAATCCGAGTTAACTTAAGTTGTTTGTTTTAATTTTTTTACATGTTTTTTTTTTAATTTTATTATTCAATATAACTATTAGGTTATTTCGATCTTATAACCTGATAACAATGCTCAATAGGTTAATCCGAGTTGACTTAAGTTGTTTATTTTAATTTTTTTACATGTTTTTTTTTAATTTTATTATTCAATATAAGGTTGGTTATGAATTGAACTTCATAATCTATTTTGATTTGTTATCTATTAAAATATTTCGATCTCAAGATCAGGATCGCGGGTCTCGGTATCTTAATCCCAGTTAAATCATGTTATTTTTCTTTTTTTTTTGAAAAATTATCCAAGTCTCATATCCTTCAACATTAATTTTTTTATTAGACTGTCATCGTATCATAACTTAAATTACAAGTTTGAAAAGTTAATCTAGGTGACTCATTTTTTTAATTGACTTTTTCTTCCTTTTAATTTTATTATTTAACACTGTGTTTAATTAAAAATTAGGTTTTTATGATTTATTTTGTTTTGATTTTTATGAGGCTGTTCTAACCTTATGACCCGAGAATAGTGTTTAATTATTTTAATTGGGTTTTTTAAACAAAGTTTCGGGTCTTATAAGATCGATCATGAATTTAACTTTATATTTTATTTTGATTTGTTTTTTATATCGCTCTCCTAATCTTATAACTAGAGTTGCAGATTTGACAAGTAATATGGGTTAAATCAGGTTGATTTTTTCACATATATTATTTTAGTATCAGAAATCGGGTCATGAACTTTACAGGCTGACTTTAATCTTTTTTATATATATATATATATATTAATTGATTTTTTTGATCTTATTCTTTAATATTGGACTGGTTAAAAATTAAATTTTATAATTTATTTTATTTTTTTATATGGAGTTATCTCAATTTTATGACTTGATTTATGAGCTTGACAAGTTAAACTAAATCGTTTTTTATTTTATTTTTATAATTTAACACTGAGTATATTATAAATTAAACTTGTAATTTATTTTTATTTGTTTTACATAGAATTATTATAGTTTTCATAACTTAGTTTAATGAAAATCAATTCAATATATTATTATTTTAATACTGAAAAAATATATCATATTAAAAAATTATTTTGAATCAAATTATATTTTTATGTATTATTTATAAGTTAATCAAGTTATATTAAATGAATTTTATATAATTTAATTTTTTATTAAAAATAATATTAACAATATTTATATATTTATTTTTATAGTTTTAAAAAATTTAACCCGGTCCATAATATAATACAATGAAAGTCAATCACCTAGCGTGGTCTCCCTTGCGCCGCTCCTTTTTCTCTCACAACACAGTCCATGTACTCCTACACAGTTTAATTGTGGGAACATAATTCATGGCCACATGTTGGGTAGTTAGCGGCGGCATATATGGACATGGAATCACAAATTTTTTTATATGTTAAAATATATTAAAATAATATTTTTTTAATTTTTAAAAATTAATTTTAAAAATCATCATAACAAAACGATATAAAATATATAAAAATAAATTATTTTTTAACAAAAAAATTTAAATATTTTAGAAATATAGATGCAATTGTGTTTTTAAATGTTTACTAAATTATAGGCTGATATATTTTAATTTTATTAGTTTTTATATTTTAAAAATATTTTTTTAAAAAAGTATTTTTTTGTTTTTAAATTAGTTTAATATTTTAATGCTGAAAATAATATTAAAAAAATAAAAAATATCATTTTAATGCATTTCCAAACAAAAAAATATTTTGAAAAGTAATCACTACCATATTTATAAACACCCCTAAATCTTTATTTATTATAGTGATTTAATAGTTTTTTAGAGTATGTTTTTATTTAAAAAATATCAAATTAATATGTTTAGATTTTTTATGGTTTTAAAGTATTTAAATCAAAAATAAAAAAATATTTTAATTTATTTTTAATAAAAAATACTTTTTATAAAAATACACCGAAATACTAAACAAACTATATTATTTGACATTCCGATTAAAATTAAGCATGAAAAATATTAAATTAATAATATTTAATATTTCTAATAATTTTAATATATCAATTTTTAAAATAAAAAATATTTTAAAATATTTAAAATAAAATATATTTTTAAAAAATATAAAAAAACAAAAACTCTCGCAATTCCAAATAAAACCTTTCATCCAGCTAAGCATCGCTTTTGCTTCCTTGCATAAGCTACATGGTTGAAGCTTGAAAAACAAAGCCGCGTACTGTTCAAAGCTGGGCCTTTTGTTTTCCTCGATATTAAAGCTAGTTGAGAGTATTGTTATAATTATTTTTTAGAATATTTTTATGTTAAAATATATTAAAATAATATTTTTTATTTTTAAAATTTTATTTTTAAAATCAGTATATTAAAATGATTCAAAACTTAAAAAAATAAAATTTTTAACCCGCATTTCAAAACACTTCCTTTGTATAAAAACTAGCATTGCTGTAAAAATAACTTCATGCCATGGAGCAAGCAACTTTCAACACAAGTGCTTTCACCTAACGTCGTTTTGGATCCTTTCTGGTCGTAGGTCCATTGAATGGGATTTGGAGGGTTGTCGAAATTGAGCTGTTTCTCGGCTCTAAATTCATGTCAACATGCTCTTAACTTCCAGGGGGGTTTTGTTTTCGCCATAAAAACCTTGTTTTACAAAATTGTAGATTTTTTATTTGAAATTTTATTTATATTTTTAATATTTTGATGTGTTGATATTAAAAATATTTTTTAAAAAATAAAAAATATTATTTTCATATATTTATTTTCAACATTTCATTTGAAATTATAGCAACAATTAATTTTTAATTTGAAATATATAAAAATAATTTTTTTTTATTTTTAAAAATTTATTTTTAACATTAATATATTAAAACAATGTGGAAATATAAAAAAATAAAATTTAAACAAAAAAATAATTTTTTTATTTTTTTCAAAAATATTTTTAAAACATAAAGATAAATTGGCTTTAAAAGAATTAAAAATTAAAATAAATTATTTAAAAATTTATTTTTTATTTAATTTATTTTTTAATAAAATATTAAATATATTCAAATACAAATAAATTGTTAAAATAATAAAGATATATTAAAAAAATAACAAAGATAATACGTATATGTATTAGTGTAAATATTTTGCTATATAATTTTAGCTATGTTGAAGACCACTTAAAAAGAAAAAAATGTTAGTTTTCAAATCAATAGACCAAAATCTTTATTTATAAATATCTAATAATGAGACTTAATAAAGTTTATAAATAATTAAATTAGATGAGATGTAATTAATATTATGAGTAAAATAATAACAAAATCACTTTATAATCAATGAAATGAAATGGTTTGTGGAATGCATCAAACATGAGTGGAATTAGAATTTTATAAATGAAGGAGCCAATAACAAATATACCATGATACATTTATAAATAAATAAATAAATAATAGTTATAAAAACATAGAATAATATGAAATGTTTTTTTTTAGATGGAAAAGATGCATATTGTTTTTTTTTCCTTTCAAACATCTTAAAAAAAATATTATTAACAATTATATAAAAATATTTATTTCGGATATTTAAAAATATGAATTAAAATCTTGAACGATAAAAGAAACTCCTAAATATTTGTTGATACCAAATAAGATGCAATATCGGACGGGAACGGAATTAAGTCTCAACAAGCATGCACAGCCCCACCTGCAATAACAATTTTCTTTTTCTGGAAATAAATAAAACAAGAAATTAATTAGAAAAAAGAAAGAAAGGAAAAACGGAAGCTACTCTTGTTGGGTAGGTGGTGCCAAGTCGAACGTTCTCCCTTTCTCTCTCTCTCGCTCCAATCCTTTCTCTCTCGCTCTAGATTCACTGATCAAATCCCTGATCCGATCTGTAAGTTAGTACATCTCCTTCTCCTTCCGTTTATTTCCAATGCGTTCGATTCAATCCCCAGATTCCTAATATTTTTTGTATTGTATTTTATGTTTTGATCTTAAGTTATACTTCTCTAATTACAGAGATCCCTCTCTGATTTTGGCCTTTTAGATCTTTTTAGTTTTTGGATCTCGGTGTTTTGATTAAATTACAGCTCGAATTTTAGGTGTGAAATAGGGAAAATTGGAGGGCAAAATTGGTCTTGAGAATTTTTGTAGATCGTTAGGGTTAAATCAGTGGTATTTTAGATGGCTACGAATCCTCCATTTAACGTGATGGAGGATCAGACGGATGAGGATTTCTTTGATAAGTTAGTTGATGATGATTTTGGGCCCCCTAATTTGGATTCGGGCCCTAAAATCACAGAGGGAAGTGATTCTGATGAGGCGAAAGCCTTTGCCAATCTCAGTATTGAGGATACAAAAGGTGGATTCGAGGGGAAGGTTGAAAATGATGGTGCAGGATTGGATGGTGTGGAGGCGGAGGAGAGTAATGCGTTGGAGTCAGTGAATTCGTTGGGCTTGTCTGATGGGGTGATTGAGTCAAATAACCATGGGATTGGATCGGAGGTTGTGCCTGAGACTACTGTTTGTCAAAGCAGTGGATCATTGAAATCAGGGGTTAAGGAAGTGGGGTGGGGTTCGTTTTACGCAGATTATGCGGAAAATGGGAATCATGGTTTTGGTTCGTCCTCTGATTTTTTTAATGATTTTGGACGCGGTTCAGAAGATTTTCCTGCAAATATAGTTCAAAAGGCTAGTAATGTAGAGAATATGGGTGGTGGAGGTTTGGATAATTCGGTCAGTTATGAGCAATATCAAGATGGTTCACAAGTTTATGGAGGATCGGTGATGGAGAGTGTGAATGGACTGGACTCGAGTAGCGGTCAGTATTGGGAAAACATGTATCCTGGATGGAAGCAAGATGCAAACACTGGGCGGTGGTATCAAGTGGATGCTTTTGATGCTACAGCAAGCATGCAAGGGAGTGCCGATGGTGCTTTGGGGGTTGAATGTGTGGCTGCTTCGGCCTCAATCTCTGATGGGAAAACAGAGGTTAATTATTTGCAGCAGACTTCACAGTCTGTGGTGGCAACTGTGGCTGAGACTAGTACAACCGAGAGTGTGTCTAGCTGGAATCAGGTTTCCCAAGGGAATAATAATGGTTACCCTGAACATATGGTTTTTGACCCACAATATCCTGGTTGGTATTATGATACAATGGTGGGAGAATGGCGCTCATTGGACAGTTACACACCATCTGCACAATCAACAACTGTTCAAACTAATGATCAGCAGAATCAAAATGGATTCGCATTTAGCAATCCTTATTCCCCAAATAGTAGTAGCATGAATGCTGAGTACGGACAAGCTGACAAGTATGGCTATCAGGGCTATAATAGCCAAGGCCTACATGGCAGCGGGGGTGAGTCTTATGGTAGCTACAATCAACAGGGTTTGAATATGTGGCAACCTCAGACTGCTGCCATGACAGATACTATTTCGAATTTTGGTGGAAACCAGCAATTAGAGAATTTATATGGTTCAAATGTGTCCATGAACAACCATGTTGATCAACAGAATGCTTTTAATTATTCAGGGACAGTTCCATCATATGACAAAGCAAGTCAAGGTTATGCTGAGGCTAACGGATTTGTTGGGTCACAAAGTTTTGTACAGGGCGGGAACTTCAGTAAGAAGAGTAATCAGGAAACTGTAAAACAGAATGAACAAGCAATCTTTTCAAATGATTACTTTAGCAGTCAGAAACAAGCAAGTGTTCCCCATCAATCATTTCAGAGCAACCAGCAGTTTTCTTATGCTCCCAACACTGGAAGATCATCTGCTGGGCGTCCTCCACATGCACTGGTTACTTTTGGATTTGGTGGGAAGCTCATAGTGATGAAAGATAGCAGTTCTCTTAGGAAAACATCCTTCAGCAGCCAGGTGAGGCTCTGAAACGCTCTCTTTCATAGTTCTTTTTCTCATTTTTTTGCATCACATTATGGGTGTTTCTCTTAACTGATAATTTGGTAGCCAGAAGTCTTGGTGGGAACGAGAATTAAAAAGTGCTTGGGATTTTGTGTCAGTTCTCTCATAAATTAAAAGAAACTATTAAATTTTTTTTTTCTTGAATGCTGGTATTATTTATGGGCTAAAAATGTGTACTTTTTTCATGTGAAGGATCATGTAGGAAGCTCAATCTCAGTTATGAATTTGATGGAGATTATTTTAGGAAGTAGTGATAATGCTTCAAGTGTTGGAGGGGGCACTTGCAGTTATTTTCATGCTCTCTGCCAACAGTCCTTTCCAGGTCCTTTGGTGGGCGGAAATGTTGGAAATAAAGAATTGAATAAGTGGATTGATGAGAGAGTTGCACACTGTGAATCACTTGGTGTAAATCATAGAAAAGGCGAAGTATTGAGGTTGCTTCTCGCTTTACTGAAAATAGCTTGTCAGCATTATGGAAAACTTCGATCTCCATTTGGAACTGACAATTTATTGAAGGTAAATTACAAATTTCTTTTTCAATGTTTGTGCGCGCGTGTTACTTTTCTTTTAATTTGAACCTTGCAGATTTATGCTCTATGTCACCCATTTGGATTTGTACAAGCTAATTTGATTCCTTTAACAAAGCAAGTACTTGTATACATTTGTTGTTGGTTCTGTGACGAGTTAGTTAGAAAAAAACACTTTTGCAGTGTATCTTTATTTTGATATGTTAGTCTTTGGAAACATAAGACTATGAAATGCCTCTCCCTCTCTCCAACCAAAAAGCCAGAAATAAAATTATCTCCTCTTGGATTCCCTGCTTTTCATGCTCTTTTGTGATGTTTTTCTAAAAGATGTTCGAAATGTCTCAAAATGCAAGACTGTTTCAAGCCCACTGGGAATTAATTTACCTTGCTTATTTCAGAGAGAATTGGCCAGACATAAGTGAAAGGGCATGCTGCATGGGGTATCTAATTTCTAAACTAGAAAAGAGTAGGTGGTCTGCCCACGTACGAAAGCACATGGGCTACTGGAAACATTTAAGCAACCTGCATTTAGTGTCACTATAATCCAATTAATGATGCAACGAGTTTGTTGTGGGTTTATTTTCCTTCTCCTGATTTAGTTCCTAATATTTGCTTTCTTGATATTTGATGTTACATCATTGAGTTTCACATCATCTCCTTACACTGTTATTTATATGATAAAATGGGTCCTTAATATTATTGCCTTGTAATCATATCTGAATAGCCACATATAGAAATGACTAACCTGGCATTTTGAATATCATTTCTATTTTTGTAGGAGAGTGATGCTCCAGAATCAGCAGTTGCAAAACTCTTTGCATCTGCCAAGAAGAATAGCACACACTTCAATGAGTATGGTGCCCTTGACCACTGCTTGCAGAATATGCCCTCTGAAGGACAAATTAGGGTATCTCATATACTACTTTGCTATTTCTCAATATTGTATTGACATTTTATCTGTCTTGTAAAAGATTCTGATGTATTTACTAGGCAACTGCTTCTGAGGTACAACATCTTCTGGTTTCTGGAAGAAAAAAAGAGGCTTTACAATGTGCACAAGAAGGCCAGTTGTGGGGACCAGCACTTGTTCTTGCGTCACAGCTTGGTGATCAGGTTTTTCGTCTATGTTACTCTGATGCCTTTGATTTTATTCAGATAATTTCACGGACGAGGAAGATTTTCAGATATTCACTCGCTTCTCTCTCTCTGTTTGCATGTTTTTGGGGCTGGGTTGATACAGTACTATGTTGATACTGTCAAGCTAATGGCACTTCGCCAGCTGGTAGCTGGTTCTCCTTTGCGAACATTATGCTTGCTAATAGCAGGGCAACCAGCTGAGGTATTTTCCACAGATTCTAATGTACATGGTGGCTTTCCTGGTGATTTGAGTATCCCTCAACAACCTGTCCAGGTGAGATAGTGATGCATGAATTGTCCTACTGAATTAAGGGCTGAATAAGTGTGCTATGTTGTGGATTCTTTCAGTTAAAATCACATATTTTGCTATCAAAAACTTGAGAGGATATTTTGTAGTGATGGAGAACCTTTGAGAATGAAGCCGAAGGGAAGAGAATTGTGTTTTGGATTTTGTTGATAACACTACCGACCAGCTATATCAACTGTGTTGTTTCCACATAATGGGTTTATTGTTAGCTCTCAAGATATAGAATAACTAAGCTTTCTCCTCAGTCCTGTTCACAAGGATACTGAATGCTTATATAGGCTTTGATGTAGCTGTCATGTCACCGCCATCTTTTCAATTTGTAAAAAAATTGCTTGTAATTTACCTTTGCCACGACTAGCTCTTCCTTTTTTATTTCCTATCAAAAGCTGAAATTTCTAACCTGTTTTTATTGGTGTATAATTTTATATATGCTTTGCTATCAATTGCAGTTTGGGGCAAACAGAATGCTTGATGACTGGGAAGAGAATTTGGCTGTAATAACTGCAAACAGAACAAAAGATGATGAACTTGTGCTCATACATCTTGGAGATTGCCTATGGAAGGATAGAAGTGAGGTATCTTTTTTTTCTTTGGTCCTTTGTTTGGTGGCTTCATTTGAAAACCCTGTATCCTGAAACTTACATGAGAGTGGTTACTCAGATTACTGCTGCACACATCTGCTATTTAGTAGCAGAAGCAAACTTTGAGTCGCATTCAGACACTGCAAGGCTATGCCTAATTGGAGCAGATCACTGGAAGCATCCCCGAACATATGCTAATCCAGCGGCTATTCAGGTGCTCGGTTATTTTGTTCAACCCTTGTGCGCGATTACTTATGATTTATTTATGGTAGCTTATTATGGGATGGTTGCTTCCAATGCAAATGAACAGCTTGTTCTGCACTTCTTGGCTGGATAGATAGGTTTTGGTTAATTATACAATCACTGATCAGAATCCAATCTTTATGAGCAAAATCGAGAATGGCGACATTTTGGAATGTTTCTTGTGGTTTCAAACTCAACCTTTCTCTCTCATATGATTTCTCCTTCAACGGAATCTGACTTGATTAATTTAATGGGATGTATTGACAGAGAACTGAGTTGTATGAATACTCAAAGGTGCTTGGTAACTCCCAGTTTATCTTGCTACCGTTTCAGCAATATAAGCTTATCTATGCATACATGCTGGCTGAAGTGGGCAAAGTCTCTGATTCACTTAAGTAAGGGGATGGCAATTTTGAAGTAGATGCTTTATATAATTTGTCCTTCAGTTGCCTGAATCTGGTGAATTTATATAGGTATTGTCAGGCTGTTTTAAAATCCCTAAAAACTGGTCGAGCTCCTGAAGTAGAAACATGGAAGCTTTTAGTATTATCCCTTGAGGAAAGGATTAGAGCCCATCAGCAGGTAATAATTTATCATGAACTCTACTTTCTTTCTTTATGTTTTTGCTTTTCTGTATTCTGACCAAGATCAAATATTCTATTTTTCAGGGTGGATTCACCACAAATTTGGCTCCAGGAAAGATAGTTGGCAAGTTGCTCAACTTTTTTGACAGTACTGCACATCGTGTTGTTGGGGGCCTGCCACCACCCGCACCATCAGCATCTCAAGGAAGTGTGCCAGATAGCCATCACCAGCTGGTGGCTCCCAGAGTATCAGGTAGTCAGTCAACAATGACCATGTCATCGCTAATATCTTCTGCTTCAACAGAGCCCATAAGTGAATGGGCAGCTGATGGCAATAAAATGACAATGCATAATAGAAGTGTTTCAGAGCCAGACTTTGGTAGAAGTCCAAGACAGGTGTGTTATCGTCTGCAAGTTGAAAAACGACTTAAATTGCTTGATGTGTATGTTAGTTATATCATGTCTTCTTACTGGCTTGTGGTAGGATCAGGCTGATTCATCTACACAAGGAACTCCTTCCAGCACACAAAGCAAGGCATCAGGTTCAGTGGGGTCATCTCGGTTTGGTCGTTTTGGTTTTGGATCACAGCTTTTGCAGAAAACTGTAGGGCTAGTCTTAAGGCCTCGCTCAGATAAACAGGTAGATTGATTTTCATATGTGATTTCTGTTAGACTTTTTCAGGGAGAAACTATGGACAATCTCCTGGTACTCTTGTTAACCATCATTTTTATTGTGACTGAAGGCTAAATTGGGTGAAAAGAACAAATTTTATTATGATGAAAAGCTCAAGAGATGGGTGGAGGAAGGTGTTGAACCCACAGCTGAAGCAGCAGCCTTGGCACCCCCTCCAACAACTCTAGGCTTCCAGAATGGAGGCTCTGACTACAACTTGAAATCTGCTTTGACGAATGAAGTGTCTCTGACTGATGGGAACTCAACGTTTAAGAGTCCCACTTCAACAGACCATCCTTCAGGGATTCCGCCTATTCCAGCCAGTTCAAATCAATTCTCGGCTCGTGGGCGCATGGGTGTCAGGGCAAGGTAATTTTGAAGCCTTATGTTTTTCTTCTCTAAATAATGAATATCATGAAAGTTGGGATGCTTGTCAATAGAATTTTTGATGAATAGATAAAGTGAAGGTAAAGTTTTGTTTTATTTTACTAAGAATATGTGGTATGGGGGAAGAGTGGATTAGGGAAAACACACACGAAGGTTCTATCATATTGTTGTGGAATGCCCAGCAATATGGCTAATTCTTGTTATCCAGTTGGAACTCCAATGTACATTGAGTTCCTAAATCCTAATCTTGTCATCCAATTGAAATGGGTGGCTAAATTGATATAGTAAGCTTTGAAGAGATTTACTTGTCCAGGTTAAGGACTTTTGTTCCATTTTTTTTAAGTGATTTAATTAATACAAACTAATATCAATCATGGGTGTTTGATAGGTATGTTGACACCTTTAACCAAGGTGGTGGAAAACCAGCAAATCTGTTCCAGTCCCCGTCTGTTCCATCTGTCAAACCTGCTGTTGCTTCAAATGCGAAGTTTTTTGTTCCCGCGCCCGCACCCACACCATCATTAGAATGTTCTATGGAAGCTATAGCAGAAAACATACAAGACAATGCACCCACTGAGAAACCTTCTACATTCAATATGAAGGAGAATGATTATCCACAGCCTTCCACATCTTCATCAGCAATGGCTATGCAAAGATTTCCAAGCGTGGATAACATTACGAGAAAGGGGGGTATGATAAATGGGAAAGACTTGGTTTCATCCAACTCACGACGAACAGCGTCATGGAGCGGGAGCTTCAGTGATTCATTTAGTCCTCCTAAGGCAATGGAATCCAAATCTCCAGGGGAGGCTATGGGCATGATCCCTTCATCATTTATGCCTAGCGACCAATCCATGACACGAATGCCAAGTAGTAGCAGTTTTGGAGATGAACTTCATGAGGTGGAACTTTAATTTGAGCAATGGAGATGTACATACCAAGTTTTGCTCCTTGTGGTCGATGCAATACTTGGACGGGCTCCATCCAGCACATCCTGGAAGATGCTCAGTGGTGCTGCATCAGAATCGGGTCATGGAGAAGCAAAACATGTTTTCTATCAAAATTTCCACAATCCTTCCCACCTCCTCTAAATGTATGTTCAAATGCAGATGGCGAATGTATTACTGTAATCTTAAGCATAGATTTTGTATGAATGTCACAGGAGTTGCCACCATCAGAGGTTTGAGGAGCTGGTTTTTTAACCATAAATCAAAGAAACCCTGCGTTGGCACACCATTGTACAGTTAGTTCATTTGTTCATTTGTTGGGAAGAGTAAATGTCCATTGGAAGTAGCTAGTAGAAATCCCCTCGGGCTCAGAGGTCTTTTCCAGGGGAAACATAGTGTACTCATTTTCCAAAAAAAGAAAACGAGAGAAAAATAAAACGTCTTTTATGTTCAATTGTATTCCAATGTATGCTTTCAGAAGTTGAATTATTGGTATCCTAAAACGTTGAGGGCTGCTTTTGGCTAAAATGGGCTAAGAATTTAAGTTGCATGTGCGCAAGAACTCTTTCTTTTTGTTGTCTTGTAACATCTCATGTCGAAAGGTTCTGCCACTCTCATTTTCACTGTGTTAATGGATTGATGTCGTTATTTTTGTTCATACAAGTATCTTTATCCAAGAGTTCCATAAAATATCCTTGCAATTTTCATATAGTGCTAGATAACGCGTTTAGTTAAAGATTAAATAATTATTTATGAGCCAGTATTAATTTTTTTTTGACTTAGCTCCAGGGCCAGGGCCGAGCTAATTCCAAGGGTACACGGGCTCTCGACAAAGAATTCATAATTAATTCATGAGCTTTATCTAAATCTGATGGCGTACCAAGTAAAAGTCAAACCTGAGATCTTAAACAGGAACATGCATTCCAAGGTATTCCTCGTTAGGCCAGCTCCATAAAATTAGCCAATATTAAATGTTAATAAAGAAATACTTACATTAGAATTGTACTTAATAATCGTGGATTATTTTTATGAAAAACCTCGTTATATTATAATTTACATACCACTGATAAAGAAATAAAATAAATCTACGTAATAAAAATGTATTAAGATAATTATTTCGTAAATACCCAAACACGAAAGAATAAACAATTTAAAATAAATTACTCAAAGAATAAAAACACTAACTCATATTTATTCTTCTCCAACATATTGAGTTGGATTCCTTTCTAGATTTGATGAGTGTAGGTGGGCATGGATTCTCTCACCTCATCTTCCAGAAATCCTTTGTTATTTCCGCGCATTTTTTGACGCTTCGTTTGCTCTTTCTTCAGCAGCAACATTCCCTCATCAGCCTGTAATGTGCCCGCATGGACGGAATCACCCATCCATCAATTGATTCAATTCCACAGAGGCTTTGAGTTTGTTATGGAGCTTGAAATTGTCTCCATCCCCGCTGTTGAGCCCTAATTTTGAGAGCTTTCCTAAGATAGTTTGATGGATGCTTAGAATTTGTTTGACGAAATGCCTAAAGCAATCTGTGTTCATGAAATATTTTGATTTTTGAGTATTATGGATGAAATTATCACCGTAATTATGAATTATGTACAATAATTTTGTTATTTTGAGGCTTTAGCGCACATATAAAATTCAGAAAAGTAAGAACACAGTCAAACCTTAATTTTTTTTAATCATCCCAAGATATAAGAACAAAATCACTTAAAGTAAATATTTTACAATCTTTCCAAACGTGTTTTGAATTAAATTAATATTTACTTATCAATAGCTATTTATTATTTATTCTTGTAATTAAAGAGACTATTTACTTTTTTTCTTTGACTTTTTAGATTTAAATAATAAAAAACTATCAAGACTTTAAAATTTATCAAATCAATATGAAAAATACGTTCTTAAAATATTATTTTTTTATTGATCCATAATTCAAAAGCACCCTTATAATTAAATGAAGAAAAGAAGAAAAACTGTAACTCGCTTATGGCAAATGCTTCGATGGTTTGAATGTTTATTTTAATCTGTAACCATTTTAGGAATTATCAAAAACAAATACCGAAATTCATTTTTACCACAAATTTAGAATGGAGATATTTTGGGAGAAGAAAATTGAAATGGAAAACATTAATTAGGAAAAGATAAAAGCAAAAAAAAATAAAAATAAAAAAAATCCACGGCGAAGGAGTAGTGCTGTCACAAACTCACAAGAAAAAAAATCCACGGCAAAGGAGTAGTGCTGTCACAAACTCACAAGAGAGACATTGAATCGCTGTTGCTCTCTCACTCTCTCAAGCTCAAGCACAAGCTGCACAACTCCCTCAAAGACTGAAAAAGAAGAAGAAGAAAAGCTCGGTGTATCAGCGCAGAGAGAGGTGGGGGCAGAGATAAGTAGTTCAATCATGGCGGGCCAACACGACGACTTAGAACAACTCCTTGACAGTAATCTCTCTCTTTCTCTAAAACCCATGTCTTCATTTTCTCTATAAAAAATCTGACAATTCTTTTTATATGTATTTTAATCTCTTTACAGGTGCTGTCGATGATTTCCAGACTCTCAACCTTGCTCCTGCTTCTCAAAGGTCTGTCTCAACAATTTTTTTATTTTTTTATTTTTTTTATCTTTGGTAATAGATATTGGTGATTTTTGAAAATTATGGCTTAATTTATAGAAGTGGAGATGGTAATGAAGAGAACAGAAAGCAGAAAGAGGAAGAGAAAGGGACCTGTCTTCCTTCATTGCCAACTGGTGTTCAAGGGTTGGGAATGGGATTGCCTGACTTAAAAAGCAAGAAAAAAGGCAAGCAAAAGGTTTCTAAAGAATCCCATGTTGAGGAGGCTCTTGATAAGCTTAGAGAACAGACTAGGGAGGCTGTTAAAGGATTGGAGTCTGTCACTGCTGCCTCTAAACCTGATGATTCTAGCCAAGATGCATTTATGGATGATTGGGTTAAGCAGTTTGAGGAGCTTGCTGGTTCTCAGGTATATCATTTTGCCTTTTCTCTTTGTTTCCTTTCAATTGCGTATTTCTATGGTTTATGAATTATGGTTGAGATTTAGGGTAGTTAGAACCGAGGAAGGCTTTTTTCGTTGATTTACATGACATAGCTTATTTCCTCGTTCCTATCAGGAGGATAACTTTTAGTTCACTTTCGAGTTTTAGGTTCGATAATTGTGGTTATGAATATTGGTGAGATTTTGTTTGGTAATTGGGGATTGATACAGTGCATTCTGTCTTAAGTTTTGGGTCACGGGGTTTACAAATTCGATCACTTGCTTAACAATAGCTATATTGCCCGACTCGTTCATAATGGTAAAGAGTTTGTAGGAAATTTAGATGCCAATTTTTTCTGCTATCCTTCGTTTTAAAATAGTTTAGTTTGGTTTTGTTGTGGTTTCATATATTTGAAAATAGTCGATCATCACTCAGGTAGGGCTACCTTGCTTGATTCGGTACTTGTAAAGCTGTTTTTGTATGTGGATAGGAAAACCTTACTCTACTGAAGGAATTAAAGGATGTTTCTGTCAAAAGCTTGTGGTAATTTACTTGCAGTAAGTTTGATGTTACTATGCTTAGTCATTGCATGTTGGGTGATGCTCTTTTGGCATAGCCTATAAATGTTATTATTGACCTTCATGAAAAGTGACAAACACAGAGGGTGCACAAGTTATGTAGAATGCAGAATCTGTCAAGGAACACTCGGTGTTCATGTGACATAATTAGTAGTTAGACTGACTTGCATCTGTACCCTTAATCACTTCTCTGGATGCTTCCTAAATTATACACCACATTGGCTCATTTTGGTGAAAGGCACTAAGCATGTAGATATTTCTATTGTTGCTTGATTTCTCATGACAAGCATCTTAGATAGGCCTAGAAATGGATGGAAAGCTCTAATTTGCTATTCAAGTTTGGAACAGATTATGTTCATCTCGTAAATTGCTTATTGCAGTATTATTTTGCTATACTTGTCGATCTAGGATCTTCTCTCAAAATATTGACTTATATTTTATATATATCAATAAACAAGTGAAATTCATATGCCCATGATGTGCTCAACACAGATGATTTTAAATTGGTTATGCGCCTTTCTGTGTTTCATATTGAATGTGGTGTAGTTAAGCACAATGCTGGTTGAGCTCTGCATTATAATAGGCTAATTGCCTCAATCCATGATTTGGAATTGTTTGAGATGTAAAAATATTAGTTACTGAAGGTTTTTTTCCCCCCCTTAAATGTAATGTTGACCTCTTAAATCTATTAGATATGAGGCAAATATTATTCAACTATGGAGTAATGTCTTGGGGGCCTTTTCATTTCACATGACAAGGTTCATGGCAGAACTGGAATTCAGTGTAATGTTTGCTGCAATACCAACATTGAGCTTTATGGCTCAATAGCATGAGCATCCGTCAATGGCCTGCTTCACTTGCTAAGAATACTTTGAGATGCCTTTTTTTGAAAACCAAAGTGGGTTTACTTCTTGGAGTCATATCAGTTTGACATGTTACTCCGAGGAAGAGATTAGGCAAGGTCTGTTGGTTTTACATGTTTAAAATGTAAGTGGAAACTAATTTGGCACCCCAAGCTTTAGGTGGCTCTTCTTCATGATTACATATTCTCTCTCTGGATATCCACTGCCCATCAGTCTTCTTACTGTTCCTTATCTTCCCCGTGATGAAAATAGTGGATTTGGGCCAGAGAGCATTTGAAACTCTAAACATTGTTCATTTGTCTTATGCTAACATGCTTCCTCTCCTGTAGATGGCGTGCATGCTTCATTTTGTAGGTTATAACGTGTTATATTTTTTTTTCCTTTTAATTTTCTTCTCCAGGACATGGAATCTATTGTGGAGACCATGATGCAACAGCTTTTATCTAAGGAAATTCTTTACGAACCCATGAAAGAAATTGGAGAAAGATATCCAAAGTGGTTGGAAGAACACAAAGCCAGTCTGAACAAAGAAGACTACGGGCGTTACTCACATCAATATGAACTCATAAAAGATCTTAATGATGTCTACGACAGTGATCCTAGTAACTATAACAAGATATTTGATCTCATGCAGAAAATGCAAGAATGTGGCCAACCACCAAATAATATTGTCCAAGAGCTTGCTCCTGATATCGACTTTGCTAATCTCGGCCAAATGTAAGTTAACTATCATATGCAATTTTTGGCATTCTTGGATGACCATCTCTGTTTTTCTTCTTTTAAACCTCTTCGAACCTTGGATCAAGTGCCAAAGGGTGCGGTTGGAATGGGATTTTAGGTCTAGTCTTGTCTCGCTAAGGTAAAAAAAGGAAGCAAGATTCCTTGATTTTTCACTGGAAAATTATCTGGCTCAAAGTTTAAAGAAAAAAAATCTGATAGCTGACCGACATCCTTGTGTTGCAGATCTCCAGAGATGCTCGAGGCCCAGGGAAATTGTTGCGTAATGTGAAGCCATTCCTTTCCTCTTGTTTCCTATTTTCACTT